ATTAACAGTAAATAGAACAGAACAGAGCAAGCTATGGGTAGCAGTAACCCCTTTTATAGGGTTGGCTGCTACCCTATTAACCAATACTAAGTGCATCAAGTTTAAACTAATAACCAATAAGAAGTGTCCTAAGCTTGGCCAATCAGGGCCTTGTTATGAACCAATCCTTGTTCATTGTTTAAGGACCAATCAAATGTGCAGGCTTCCAAAACCTGCTTTGCATGTAGGCTTAGTAATTTTATTCATTCACAACATGATCCATGACCCTCCTGGCTAATTAAAGCCTGATAGGAGATGATGGATCATTGAAGCCAGACAATGACAGAGAAGGTGGTTTTGCCCATTCTTAACGGCAATGGATCATCCCCTCCTCAAGAAACAACTGCTGTATCCCATTTGTCCTGCCTCCAATCATTGAGAAAGTGGTCAGAAGAATAAATTGTCTGGATCCTTTTCAATTGGTTTCAGACCAGTGGATAGTAATGAGAGGTGATATCTGGTGACATTTTGGGCCAGGCAGCTGGATTTTAGTCTGTCCATGATGTCTATAATATTAAATGATAGTTGGTTGCCCTTTGTTTGTTTATTTATATATCAAATGTACATAGCTGTTATCTCACCAATATACTTGGAAAATTACTGTGGGTAACATCTAGTTTATTTTACACTTAGCACACTTCCCGGTTAATACCTATCAGATTAGATCAAGCGCGCACAGAGTTCAGCTAGCAAAAAATATGATTTGATGGTTAGATACTTTTCACCTAAGTGTTTCTAAATTAAGACTGGCAATCTATGGGCTGCATACCCCCCCCCCTCTGGTGGCCCATTAGCACCATAAAATTGCAACTATAAATTTAGCAGCAAGACTGGGTTTTTTACCCTTCATGCTAAATGAATTCAGTCTCTCCACTGAAAAAAGCTAACAAGTAAAGATTACCTTGCTAAAAATAAAACTAAAGAAATCCCTGATTGGAAACCCCACCCTCTAAAAGCCTTAAAATGTTCATTTTGCTGATGGAGATATTTTTTTATTACTAAATTTGTCATTTGACCTGCTTTGGTACATTATTTGCATTTATGTTAATCATTACTGATTTAAAGTCCCATTAATTCCTGAGAATGTGCTCAAAAAAAAAAATCTGGGTCCAGCCTGCTATTCCCAACCATGGTTATACTAACAAATATGTGTTCACAAATAAGTAATACTTGCTCTCTGTTCTCTGCAACACACTTTATTACTTAAATATCCCCATTCGGAACAAAGAAGTTTTTTTCTCTTATGACTCTAGTGGTCTTTGTAATAACTTTTCTCCTTATCTAATTATCATTATAATGGCTACTCTGTCCTGGACACATAGAAGGGAATTTTCATTTGCCAGCCTCAATGTCTTGTCATTGATTATTTTAGAGGGAAGATCAAATAATGTGGCACAACCAGATGGGACAATTAAGATCAGTGTTTTTCAAACTTTGCAACTTTGAGATCTGGGGATTTCAATTCCCAGACTTCGCCAGCCAGCATGCTAGTAGGGAATTCTGGGAATTGAAACCCAGACATTTTAAAGTTGTCAAGTTTGAAAAACATGAATTAAGACTATTTCTTCCATAGCATGCTACTGCATTTTCTACCAAGTTTGCTCCTATTAACTTCCTGCTTGGGGTTGATCTAATGAGGAAAATGCTGTAATTTTCATGGCAGAGTTGTCAAATTGTATTTGATTTTGATTCCTATCAGATGGCTATGGACTCAGCATTAAACATCCCAGCTGCCTGATTTATTTCTGCCTGAATGGTCTTTGAGCTTTCCATCCCACTTACCCTGTGTTTTTAGTTGACTATTTTGGAATATGTTTAATATTTTGATCTTAGCAAATAGATTTAACTAAATGAACCTTTCTTGTTTACTTGGTACTAGCCTAAGAAAGAGGAGCTATTCCATCGTGGCCTAGGTCTAAACCTCAACAATGGTCAATATATGGCCCCTGTCAGTGGATACTACATTTTCAGTGCCAGACTGTATGTTGGTAAGTGCTTAACTTGAAATAAAACAATACATGATTGGCTTATTCATTGTATAAACTCAAAATCTAGAATTGGTAAGATGTTTTTATTTTATTAAAGAACTTTTCTATAAAAGTAAACAAACTGTAATACTGCCAAATCTGACCTCATCTGAATTTTTTTAAAAACGATAATACTGAATCCCAATGAGATTTAGTGTCAGGGAGAAATTTGGCAGTAATGGATGATATAAAGATTACTAGCAAAGTCATAGAAATATACATATTTGCTAAATCAAGGATGGATTGGGCTAATTGGGTTGTTTAGATACTTTAGATCTCTTAGTGTTCTTTCAGGCAACAAAAGCAGGAACTACAAAAGTCTAGTTTGTGGATCATGCTACATGACTCATCTCTGAAAAAGTGATGGGCACTGAACTAATAAGTATATTAAAGCAATGCCCTTACTAATGTCCAGGATCTGGGGTCATTTTCTAGTTGCTGGCACTCTTTGCAGCCCAGCCTGATTCTTTCTTACCTCTTGCAGTTCCTCAAATACATCCTACAAAGTATCGATCACGGGCCCGAGATCGCCTGCGCTTGCTGATTTGTGTCGAGTCACTCTGCCGCCTGAAAAGGTGATTGAATGGGGTATAAATATTTTTATGTTTGGAAAGCATCTGTTTTTCAGTTTTGCTGCATCCTGGCCTGCCTATGTATCCTAATATGGGTAATCATTAATTACCTATGTAGTTAATTCACCTAATCTCTTATCTACAACTAAACAGGTTTATAAAATAAATGTGGGAAGCAAGATTTTTAGAGCAAACTGGTCAATTAAAAAGAGGTCAGTTTGTGTTCTGGCATCCATTACTAAAGACCCTGTTATCTTACTTTCAGTTCTTTGGAAACAGTCAGCAGTTTGGACAAATCCAGTGAATATTTCACTATTTCAGTCAGTGGAATTCTCTTTCTGCAGGTGAGTCTTTAGAGAGCAAGCAAGCATACTAAAAACCTATATGATTTCAGAAATATCCAACTTTAAGTTGATTTTATTTTAAAGAATACATTTCTTGACATGAGGACAGTAGAGGCCAAACTCTAAATTAACTGTTTTTTTCCTCTTCAGAATGTGCTTTCAAAACTAGGTAAAGCCAACTAAACCCAAGGTTTGTGTTCAATTCAATGTCTAAAGCAGGGCTGTCAAACTCCCAGCCCATGGCCTGGATGCATCACGCACCGGCCACACATACACCCGGTTTAGCAAAAGGGGGAAAAATCCCAATGTGTCACGTGATGCTGCTGTGAGTTTGACACCTCTGGTCTAGTTATTACACATCATACCCACCATATATTTGGCTTAGTTTGTTATGTGTAAACTAATCAATTTAGTTCTTTAACATGCCATAATTAAAATAAAATATGGTTTAGTATAGGTGTGAACTTAATTACCAACTCTGACCTTCTCTATTATAGGTTGGCCAGTATGCTTCAGTTTTCATAGATAATGCAACAGGATCCTCCTTCATTGTACGAAGTGGGTCAGACTTCAGGGGTGTCCTCTTAGGTATCTAAATGACCTAGAACTGCCTATTTTTAAGCTGAAATCCTGCCTTTAATCAGCTCTAAGCAAAGCTTCTGTCTTTTGGTCAAGTGGAATTGGAATCATTAGAAGCACAAACCCTTGATTAAACATCTAAAGGTGAAAAATGTGATTGTAGAAAGAGTTCAGCATGTGGCAGAACATCCAAAGGAAGATCACAAGTGACATTTGATTGAAGACAATTTATATTTTCCTCTTGCGCTAAAAGTTTGAAATTTGACCCGTTTCCTAGTATACCTTTGGACATGGCTCTCAACCCTACTTTAATCCCAAGAATTTACAGTACTTGCTGTTCCCTCCACAACAGAATGGCTTTATAAAACATAAGACTTTTCCTGAAGATATTATCAGCTCATTAAGTGTATCAAACACTTCTACCACTCTGCATGTATGTACTTACAGAAATCCTCCGGTGTTTTACCTTTTGTTCATTTGTATCTTAGCTTTCTTCCAAGAGCTTATGATGGTAAACTCTCTTCTCTAATAATTACCCCCACCAATACTTTGTTGGACTGAAAAGATCATGTCAGGGCTAAAGTCATCTCATGAATTTTCGTAATAATGAATTTTGGTCCAAATCTCCCTGGTTCCATATCCAAACCACTGCCCTACATTAATCAATGTGAAATGTCCTTTTGTATGGTACTCTACGGCTCTTAACTGATGACACTATATACATTACTATCAATCACATTGACACAGATAATTACAGTAGTACTGGGTTGCTTATAAATGCTGCTAACCCTAAAAACTGTTGCCTTACACCTGTCAGTTTACATTGTTTCGGTGCACTAAATCCAAGAATGGAGGAAAGGCAAGTGCACTTTGAATTTAATTCCTAATTGTATCAGACCAAGTTTATGAAATTATGTGCTCACCAATTACAGTAAGGGAACTTTTCTTTCAGAGTAATAGTCTTTATTTTCCCTGTAGCTATCAGAACTGTAGTATGATATCCAACAAAACCAACACAGCACCACCCTCTAGCCCTACAGCACCACTGGCACGTAGGCAAAATTTTAAGCCATTTCTCTAATTTATATATCAGAGAAATGCAGAGGACACACCCTTATCTATTCCAGCCTGAAAGCCACTTCTTTAACTGCTGCTCCTTCTCATAATCGCTTTCCATAAGCAAATACATATACAGTATTTTAGCAAAACTAGTTGGGAGTTATAGCAGCAGGCAGACACCAGCTCAGTTCGACACAACTTTATAGGCTCATAGTAATCACACATCTACAAATTCTAGTTTAAGTTAAATCCACTTAAATATTCAGGAAACTCAGGAATAATGCATTTTAGGATCTTCCTTTCCTAAAAACACTCTTTAAAGTAAAAGTAGCTATAATACATTCAAAAAGATGTTGTTTTGTTTTCCATACAGATACATTTCTAATAAGGTACAGGCTAATATTTGGAGTAGACTCTCCTGCTTGAGCAGGGGGTTGGACTAGATGACCTTCAAGGTCCCTTCGAACTCTGTTATTCTATAAGCTACCTGTCTGCTCAGAATTTGAAAATTTGAAAATAATGTACGAAACTGGAAAGTCAAAATTCAGTTTCACTTTTAAAGATCACTAGAGGGCAGAAGCATCTGCAGAACATTTAGAATTCTGGGCATCAAAATGATTAAGCTGAGCATTATAATAGCTCTATTTTAGCGAAAGCATATTCTCAGTAAGTTGTGCATCCACCCTTCTCATTCTGGAAATGCTACTGGCTTGATAAGGCCTAAGCACTGCCCTGCCCTGCAGTACAATCAATCATCTGCAAATTGCAGCTCTTTTATATACTTGTGTATTTACTTATATATTGGGGGGGATGTATGCATATACACTGCTCAAAAAAATAAAGGGAACACAAAAATAAGACATCCTAGATCTGAATGAATGAAATATTCTTATTAAATACTTTGTTCATTACAAAGTTGAATGTGCTGACAACAGAATCACACAAAAATTATCAATGGAAATCAAATTTAGCAACCCATGGAGGTCTGGATTTGGAGTTACACTCAAAATTAAAGTGGAAAAAAACACTACAGGCTGATCCAACTTTGATGTAATGTCCTTAAAACAAGTTAAAATGAGGCTCAGTAGTGTGTGTGGCCTCCACGTGCCTGTATGACCTCCCTACAATGCCTGGGCATGCTCCTGATGAGGTGGCGGGTGGTCTCCTGAGGGATCTCCTCCCACACCTGGACTAAAGCATCCCCCAACTCCTGGACAGTCTGTGGTGCAACGTGGCGTTGGTGGATGGAGCGAGACATGATGTCCCAGATGTGCTCAATTGGATTCAGGTCTGGGGAGTGGGCAGGCCAGTCCATAGCATCAATGCCTTCGTCTTGCAGGAACTGCTGACACACTCCAGCCACATGAGGTCTAGCATTGTCTTGCATTAGGAGGAACCCAGGGCCAACCGCACCAGCATATGGTCTCACAAGGCGTCTGAGGATCTCATCTCGGTACCTAATGGCAGTCAGGCTACCTCTGGCGAGCACATGGAGGGCTGTGCGGCCCCCTAAAGAAATGCCACTCCACACCATTACTGACCCACAGCCAAACCGGTCATGCTGGAGGATGTTGCAGGCAGCAGAACATTCTCCACAGCGTCTCCAGACCCTGTCACGTCTGTCACATGTGCTCAGTGTGAACCTGCTTTCATCTGTAAAGAGCACAGGGCACCAGTGGCGAATTTGCCAATCTTGGTGTTCTCTGGCAAATGCCAAACGTCCTGCACAGTATTGGGCTGTAAGGACAACCTCCACCCGTGGACGTCGGGCCCTCATACCACCCTCATGGAGTCTGTTTCTGACTGTTTGAGCAGCCACATGCACATTTGTGGCCCGCTGGAGGTCATTTTGCAGGGCTCTGGCAGTGCTCCTTCTGTCCCTCCTTGCACAAAGGCAGAGGTAGCGGTCCTGATGCTGGGTTGTTCCCCTCCTATGGCCTCCTCCACGTCTCCTGATGTACTGGCCAGTCTCCTGGTAGCGCCTCCATGCTCTGGACACTATGCTGACAGACACAGCAAACCTTCTTGCCACAGCTCGCATTGATGTGCCATCCTGGATGAGCTGCACTACCTGAGCCACTTGTATGGGTTGTAGACTCCGTCTCATGCTACCACTAGAGTGAAAGCACCGCCAGCATTCAAAAGTGACCAAACCATCATCCAGAAAGCATAGGAACTGAGAAGTGGTCTGTGGTCACTACCTGCAGAACCACTCCCTTATTGGGGATGTCTTGCTAACTGCCTATGCTTTCCACCTGTTGTCTATTCCATTTGCACAACAGCATGTGAAATTGATTGTCAATCAGTGTTGCTACCTAAGTGGACAATTTGATTTCACAGAAGTGTGATTGACTTGGAGTTACATTGTGTTGTTTAAGTGTTCACTTTATTTTTTTGAGCAGTGTATATACTATATAGTATATTTTTACAGCAACTCTAGTTTACTCTTAAAAAAATAGTGAATGAACACATTCACCCACTTTTAAATGTGTTTTATTTAGTTACAAAAAAAATAGGTCAAACAATGAAGCTGATGCACAGGAAAAATGACTCTTTAGTAGATTTATTATATAAAAGAACCATGGAGCTAGTCATGATATCTCAGTAATTTCAACAGAGAGCACCAATATATAGATATAATTTTATATCTAATTGTTTACAGGTACTTTTGAAATTCTACTTGTTTTTACCAGTCAAATGGGTAGGCTGTATATTGTATATTGAAAATGTTTGACTGAAGATGTATTTTTAAATCGGAGAATATTCTTTCCTGGTTTGAATTCTATTTGTTGAACACCTTCTATCAAATAGTTAACAGCATGACAATATTTGCAAAGGATATCGAAAATTAAACTGAGAATTTAAGGGTCGATTCGCAAATATTTTATTACTTGATTGATAACCTCAGCTGCTGACATCCACACAAGCGAAACTATTATTGGTTGAACTGCACCCCAATGTCACTTAGAAGCATAGAAGCTCTGAGTTGGAAGGACCATACAGATCATCTAACATTTCTTTGCTCAATACAAGAATCCATCAAGCTTTTCCCAATACCCAGCTTAACTAGTCCTTACTTGAAACCTGATTCTTTCATTTTATTTGGCTCATTGATTCTTGTTCTTTTAATGTCAACTGAGAACAGGTCCACCCCCTTTTATACATAGCATGTTTTAGCTGTTTACAGTATAAACCAGTATTGTACCTTCCTTAGCTTTCTCTGTTGCAAGTTAAATAAGCCCAGTGTCTTTAGTTGTTCTTCACAGAGCTCAGTATGCCTTGTCCTAGTAGCTTTTCTCTAAATACACTTTGGCTTCTTCATGTGCTATTTAAGTGGGATGTCCAGAATGGGCATAGGATTTCAAGTGCAGAATAGAATACCTGCAATTATTACTTCCTATGAGCCACAAAGCTTCATTTAATGCAATCCAAAATTAACCTGTCTCCCCCCCCCCCTTTCCCCCCATTTGCTCACATTGAGTTTGGGGTGCATTCTGTTCCTACAGTCTCTATCTCCCCCCCCCCTTAGTTTTCCCTTACACTTGTCACCATTGAGTATCATCACCCATAATACCTTAATTCTATTCCTATTAATTAAATCATCAGAATAATGGTACTTAATGGACATCTTTTATGCATCTATAAGAGAGGCGAATGCTATTTCACAAAAAAAGATTTTCCTCACATGTGAACTCATACCTTGAATTCTTTCCTAAATGTTTAATTTGTATCATAACTGAAAATAAACTATAATTCAATGTTAGCTAGTTCTCTCAAGCTACACTGGCATGTCAATGCCGACCCAAGGCACAGATTTACTCTATATCTCAACTTAAATTCAGACAGAAAAATCCCACTAATTTCAGTCACTATAAACATGATCATCTCAATGACAGCCCAATCCTATTCATAAAATACTTATTCTAATATATTTTCTTCCAACACTTCAGCCTAAGAATCTAACAATGCCCTATTCCACTACTCCATGCATTTAAAATCTAATCTAACCTCACTTTCTAGCTCAGGTTCACTGGAAATTTAGTCTATTTTGCATACAGCTATATAAATATTACTTGAGGTAGTATCCATGCAGCCTGAATCAAAAGTTCAGATGACTATATTACAGTATTTATGGCCAGGAATTATTAAAATTGTCAAGTCTTCAAAATTACTACCAAAATCCCTACTCGATTTTTTTCCACTGGATAAAAAACTAATTTACCAAGGAAAACCTCATTTGCTGGATGTGTTAGCTTTACCCTATTCAACAGAATGAGAAATACTGTATAATCCTCTCTGCATGACAACCAGAAAAATTGTTCCTGTGTCCAAAATATACTCAAGAAACAACCAAGAAGGGATTAGAATTTAGAACCCATGCTCAGTTAAAACAAGTTGTCAATTAAATATACCAGTGCCCTTTGTGCGTGTCTTTTTAAAAGTGGGATCCTGTAACCTGAAGCATCTTGTAAGACAGCAAACAACATGACTATCTGCATGAAATTTTGTTAGGTTACTGCCTGTAGCCCATTGAAGGAGGAAAACAGAAGACCCAATTACTTACAATTTATGAAACAATGAACTGACCTGAATGCTTATAAAAAACCCTTTTATTTACAAATAAGCGTCTGGGGGGAAATCCATAAAATTCTACACACGCGCACATTTCACAAACACACTATTGTGTTCTATTAAATTGGCTGCATGCTGTTATGGATCTTCCTTGCATGTATTCGTCCCATTACTGTTCAATCCGGACCACCATCACAGTGACATTATCTGCTGATCCTCGCTGCACTGCTTTGTTGGCCAGCCTGTTGCAGGCTGCTTCATACTTTGTATCAGCGGAAGATTTGGCATCTCTTGTGGGCATAGCTTTATCCTGTTGAGAAGTAGTAGATCACACAAGTCAGGGTAATTTCCTTTCACTCCAATGAGTTAATTTTATATAGTCATGTCTCATCTGACATTTTGAATCTGCATCATACCTCTTGGTCTAGAAGTAATAATGTAGGCTTCAACATAGTTATTTGCATATTCTATTAAACAGAGAATGTAACCTAAAAGAGAGATAACCTCATTTGCTGAAATAAGTCCCCCAAAATAAGAAAACAGTATCTTGCCTCGACTCTAAAATTACAATACATAAGAATGGACTGAAGTCCATAAAATACTATCTGTATTAGTTTTAAGGCCCCTTTATTTTCCCACAAAAATAACTCACATAATGGGCATGCTCCTGTATACCTTTTCTGCATTTTAACAGGAAGCAAAATCACTCTCTCTGCAGTCTCAGAAATGTTGCCCTGTTTAACAGCAGGGCCATGCTGCTGGGGCAAAATAAATGGGTATCCTGGATCCCTAATCTGAGAGAGAAAGCAACCCTGGGGCAATAATCTTGTCACCTGATGGAATAAGTCTCTGCTGAAGTTGAAAGCAAGGATACAGCCGATAGAGTAGAAAACAGAAAAGAACAAAAGAGCTCAGCTGCCTCTCAAACATTGTTTGCAACAATCCTTTAGCAAACAGTAATACAAATTTCAGTGATGAAATGACAACATGGTAAGTGTAAAAGAGGAACAAGCAAACAATTGTCCTCTTCTTGATTTCTCATCACAACCTTCCTCCTCTCACCTCCAAACAACACATGATGAAGTTCACAGCTTCTTCTGGTGAAAAGACTTTAAAGAGACCATCACAGGCCAATAGGATAAATCTGCAAAAGTAACTGACAGTAAGATGTACCCAAGTACAAAAAAAAGCATGTACTTATACTTTTGAAGCCATTTAGAAGAGTCACCGCATATTTCCTTACCTGAGTACTGTTTCAGTTTTACCTGTCATTGTGCGTAAGTTGACAGCGTTTGACATCTGGCACAGAGATAACTCCAAATCGCTTGTATTGTCCATCCCCAATGGAGCGTGAGACCTCCAGGACACCCAAAACACGTCCTTCCCTAAACAGAAAAAGGAGGGTGCTGGATTTATAATTATGTCTCTAAATTAAGTCCTTAAAATATGGATTGTAATTCTGAACTGTAGATCCACAGAAACTCTGGTTTATAACACTCATAATTTCTATCAAACATAGTCACTAATCCAGAGTGACAGCAGTTGTAGATCAAGACTATCTAGAGACACAGCAGGTCAAAGAAAGAAAAATCTAGAATCTTTCAATTTGTCTACAGTGTTCACAAATGGCTGATATAATTCTTTTCTCAGCTTCAATCTCTAATTTTAGAATGTGACTAAAAGCAACATACAAATGTTTTCTTTACATTTAAAAACAGAAATCAATACTCGTTTATCTGAAGAATTATTTGGAAGTACTCTGTATTACATTATATACATTACTCTTATATATACATTACTCTTATCATATAATGAAATCAATAATCTAAAACAGCTATCTGAAGGGGATCAAGCTGGGAAAACCTGTTTTACCTTTTTGTTAATGAAATGTTTGTTAGAACCTTAATGTTATGTTAAATATCAATTAAAATATATTTGCCACATCACAATTTATATGGAGTTTGTGCATGTATATGTAAAACCCATAATTAAATACCCAACATTTATTACATTTTCAACCATTTTCAACCTTTCAAACTGATATAGATGCTTTTCCTAACTTTATTCCCATAACAAAAAGAAAATTGAGTTTAGTGTGTCCCTAACTCAGCCAGTGAGATCCATAGGACTTTCAACCTCGATTTGCAACACCAACGTTTTAAGCTTTGTACCACATAAATTCCTCAAGAAGTTGCTGAAACTTTTGGCAACTCTGACATCCCTTCCCATCATTTCCCTTTGTTGCTTCCTATTTGTTACCTGACATTGCCTCCAGCCTTTTGGATCCTCATCCGCTCATCATACTGAGTTGGGTTATGTTCTTTGCTAAGACTCAAAGCTGTGTGCTTCTGAGTCTCTTCATTGTAACGGCAAAGAATTGCCTGTATTGACAAAATAACTCTTGTAAGCAAGTGCCAGGGCTATAAGCATAAAGTCTCTGCTAGCAAGATCTAAGCAGCACATTGTACTGTAGTCCTTAACGAATGACATCTGGGGAACAAAGGCCCCATTGACCTCAAAGCAGCACTGCCAACCCCCTCAAATGAAGTTGGAATGATTTTTTTTAGAAAAATAAGCAAAGGGAGAAAAAAAACCCAACCAAACAAGAAGACTGAGATCTCTTGAACTCTGGGTAAGATTGCCAACATTCTGAGCACTGTTTATTTTGAGATATCTGGGATGCCCCTTGACTTCATGTAATAGTGCTGGATGTTGAAAGGTTGCCAACCCCTACTGTATTGAAATATCAAGCGTTCTACTTAGGTAGCAAAAGGCACCAGAGCTTACCTACACCCATATTCAAGAAAAAGTAAAAAAATATAATAGACATCATCACCCAGTATAGAGCATCACCTAGAGGGCACTAAAAATACCCCTCTCCCAAATCACCCAGTGATTTTCCAATCACTCTTGGCCAAATAAAGAATTCTATTCTATTCTATTCTATTCTATTCTATTCTATTCTATTCTAT